AAGAAGTGAGCAGCATTATCTCCCGTAAATGTAAATAAACTTGTTTGTCTTAGCGATTGGCTGAACAAGAAGTAGGACTGAGTGGACTTGTAGGCTATGAAGTTTTACATTGTTTTGTTTTTGAGTGCAGTTATGTAACAAAAAAAAATCTACATTTGTAAGTTGCACTTTCATGACAAAGATATTGCATTCTAGTACTTGTATAAAGTGAATTGAAAAATACTATTTTAAAATCATTTTTACAGTGCAACTATTTGTAATAAAAAATAATATCCATGTTGATTTCAATTACAACACAGAATACTATATGAAAATATAGAAAAACATCCAAAATATTTTAGAAATTTCAATTGGTATTCTATTGTTTAACAGTGCGATTAAAACTGCGATGAATCGCAGTTAATTTTTTTGAGTTAATCGCATAAGTTAACTGCGTTTAATTGACAGCCCTAGTTATTTTACAAGGTTAAAGAAGGGAAACACACACACAAATGAGTTACAGTCTTAGATTTCAAAAGGTAATAATAGCTGCTATATATGCAAGTGCTATATATCCCTTAGGGCTTAAACAAACTAAGCACCTTAGGGATCCTTGCTAATTCTTAGAAATATTGCCCCCTCCGAATTCCAAGTAGCATAGTGGTGATAATTTCTCTTTAACCAGGATTTTTATTCTCTTCCCCCAGCATTCAAGCTGTGATGGGACAAGGGCTTGTGCATGACCAGCTTCATGGGGAAACAATCATCAGTCTTTTGTCCACTGATGTTCCACAATGTTTTCTCTGGTGTCTATAGGCCTTACTTTGTTGGGGAGGAGATGACACCTCTTGTGGTAAACTAGTATTTCACTAGTATTGCATCTGAAGAAGTGAGGTTCTTACCCACGAAAGCTTATGCTCCCAATACTTCTGTTAGTCTTAAAGGTGCCACAGGACCCTCTGTTGCTTAGTATTTCACACTTGGTGATGTTTCTCCCCAACTGTGGGGGTTTACAGTCTTAGCAAACATTTTTATATTTACAGAACAAACACTTAAATAATACCTTATAACATGGGATACAGGCCTCTACTAAGCAAGTAAGATTATATAAGTAAGATTAATACATGCAGTATTCTACAAGCATTTCATAAAGTCTAAACACATTCTTATAACTCTAATACCTATTTTAACAATCCTAACACACAGGTGAGCCAGACTGGTTTCCAGCTATGCATTTGTCAGTGTTCGGTGTGGCCCAGGGGCGTTGGCATGAGCTGGCACCTGGTCTACAAGTGTCTCAGTCATCCCTTACAGCATCAAATGTGTAGGTTAAATGTGATCCCTTCAGGTTTTTGGTATGACACCTGCCGAAAGATATCTGCTGCTGCTCACCATGACTTTAGCTCAGTGAATATGTCTCTATTGCCTTCATATCTGACTCCTGCAAGACGTGCACCTTTTTCCTGAAACACAGATATGGGCCTCCTTTGTGTTTCATCCATTCAACAGCAAGTCTTGCTGGTTAGACTGGGGGCAATTTAAAGCTATCTTCAAAGGTGTTCACATCACATCATTGTCTCTCTTTCACTTCATCACTTCTTTCACTAAGGCTTGCGTAAGTTCAAGGAATATCCCTATTCAGCAACCCTGTCTTTAGCTTCTCAGGCATTCTTAGTCATTGAAGGATAGAATTTATGCTGTGCAGGTTCTTAACTGGAGGAAGATCTCTGGGAGATTTGGGCGCTGAGCTCCAGGATCAATTGGGTACCTTGTCTGAGTGCCCTGAGAACTGCTTGACTCGCTTCACCCTCACAAGCCTTAGTTCTGTATTATGTCTCGATTCTCAGTCAGGATGGGAGCTGCACTTTAGAACCATAGGTGCCTGTCCCAAAGAGCTTACAGAAAGCAGCCATGATCAGCAGGACTCTTACTCTTTATTGAGTACTGTTAGGAAGGGTGATCCAGGTACATACACCAAGGAGATGGAGGATGTTTAATGTCAGTCAGACAGTTCAGACCACTAACATATTGATGACCAGAGGAATGTCCAGTCTCTAAATGGGGTGAGCATTGCTTGTTTTCCCTTGTGCTTGGTGGATTGTTAGTGGGAAGCTCCAGGGATAGAATGGGGTTTAAAGAGAGATGTGACCATGAAAATTACTAGTCAGGTACAAAATCCACTCACCACCTTTTACCGTGACAATAAGGAGGAGAAATTGAAGGTGTGAGAGAAATTACACACCACAGGCAAATGGGCAAGTAGAATGTAGTGTGGGTAGTTTATAATTGAGGGACCACAGCTCAAGATCCTTCCTTGCCATTGATGAGAGGGTCCTCCTCAGGCTGCCTGCTGAGTGCCAGACTAATTCCAGCTTTGCTTTTGAGTGACCTTCATATCTACTGGGGCCAGTGGGCATTGCTGTTTTGTTTTTTGGTTCTTCAAAGGATGGTCTGCAGTGATTCCATCTGTCCCCAGAGTAGTGTGTTCCAGTCCCAGCAAAATCTCCTCTGTTTCTCAACTGTGAGCATGACCCCCAATTTCACTGGGAGGAGCACAGCTGCTGCAGCTGTTTCACATGCTGTCAGAAGAGTCCAGGGGCTTTACCATGTGGAAGTGGGGATAGAGTCATGATCAATGCAGTGGGAGGGCCAGTGTTACCCCAAGGATATGGGGAAAGGGCCAGATGATAACCTGATAATAACCAGTTTTGGGGGCAAGCAGGGCTGATGAGGCACCAGATGGAGATCATTTCCAAGTTTCTAAATATGCCTTGTGATTGTGATACATTTCTTTGTATTTACACTTCTGGCATCTTGTGCCCAGTAGGGGGCAGTGTTGAGGGGCTTGCAACACTTCCCCTGCTCAGCCTGTGGCATATGCATGATGCACTGAGCTGAGCGATTGCGGGCAGAGCTGCAGGACAGGATCCAGCCATGTTGGAGAGCAAGGACTACACTGTTCACCTGTGGAAAAGAGGGGTCATGCACTCCTAGGCACTAGACACCCCAGAGTTTGGCTCTCCCTCATTTTGTCTGGGTGTAAATGGGAAGGAGAGAAGTGACCAAGGAGCTGCAACAGAAACAACAGGAAAGGGAATATCTGAGAGGAGATAGGATGGAAGGAAGGAAGGGGACTGGGGAGAAATAAATCAGGTACTGTAAGAGGGGGAAACTGAAGAACAGTGAAATGCCAAAGACAGAGAGGACATTTAAAAGATATACATATATATATGTTGTGTTGTGTTGTGTTAGGTGCAGTACAAACACATAGTGAGAGACAGTCCCTGCCCCCAAAGAGTTACAGTCTGTTTAGAAAAGAAAGACAAAGGGCAGGAGGGGAAACCGAGGCACAGAGTGGTGAAGTGACTTGCCCAAGGTAACCCACTGAGTCAATGGGAGAGCCAGGATTAGAATCCTGATTTTCTGAGTCCCAGGTCTGTATTCATTAGACCACACTTCCTCCCAAGCACTTGGAAAAGAGGCAGAGAGGACAATTTAAGACTCAGTGAGGTGGGGGCCAAAATCATTTGTACAGGATTCTAATTGGTGTTTTATATGATGATGAAGGGTGGCCCGTGGTGTGGGGTCCCCTGCAGACAGCACAATGGAGGGGCCTGGAAAGTGCCTGAGATAGGACAGAGTGGCGTGGGTGCCCCACAGGAAGCAGGATGAAGATGCTGACAACCAATGTCCCTTGCTAGGCAGGGCTGCTTTGCTCCATTGCTGCTGAGAGGTTGGGTGTGGGGATGGATCCACTTGAACCTCTTGCAGTGTCTTGCCCTCTCCTAGTGGTTCAGCAGCAGAAAGTGTGTGTTGGAGGCTGGGTAACTGAGTTTGGCTTTTTTAAGATCATCCTCAAGATGTTACTCTGGATCAGTTTGGTGGCCAGGATTGCAGGGCAGACCGTACCAGGTTCAGGGAACTCTGGGGTTTATAAATTCATAGATTCCAAGGCCAGAAGGGATGACTGTGATCATCTGGTCAGACCTCCTACATAACACTGGCCATAGAACGTCTCCAAAATAATTCCTAGAGTGGATCTTTTAGAAAGCATCCAATCTGTATTTAAAAATGACTGTTGGTAAATTGGTCGATTGCTTAATTGTTCCAACGGTTAATTGAGGGGCTTTGGGTTTTTTGTTTTGTTTTGTTTTTATTTGTTTTTTGGAACTCTATGAAGTGAAGAAACTGGGGTGACATTCCCACACCCAGAAACACTACCCCCTCTCTGCACTCTTGGTAGGATGCAGCAGATACAAGCATCATCTGTATCCCAGTCAATTACAATGTGCACAGGAAATTTAAGGAAAGTCTGTACTTCACTACACATGAGATCCAAAGGGAATGTCTAGACATGGGGCACAATGGGAGAGAAGAATGAGCTCAGTGGGGACATAGGTGGCTCAAGCAATGGGACTTAAAGGTTTTATTGGGCAGACTCAGTGGACCATGTGGCATCTGGTCAGTGAGCACAGGGAATCTGGATTGCTCGGCTATCCCAGGTTCTCCAGGACACCTTGTGACCCTGTCACTCTGTCACCTGCTCTCTACAAAACCCATGGGCCTAGTGGAAAAGAGTGTAGTTCCCCCATTACAGTAATCCTTAGCTCGGCCACTTAACTCTGGATCCATGACTCTGGGTGCTGCAAGGCTGACTGTCTCCCCTCAGTGTTAGCTAGACAGCCATGGTCATGTCCTAATGTCACTCTTGGATTTTCCCTCTTGTTTCTCTACAATTGTTCACCTCAGGCTTGGTAACAAGGATAGTAACAGGCCCAATCCAGACTTCCAGACACTCTCCCTGTTGGAGGCAGTCCTCCTTACCAGGCCTACAGCTGACATGCAACATTTGTATCATGTGTTCTACTTGCCAGTGCCACCCACTTGTTGCTAGTTGCATGCCTGTCAAGCTACTAGTGACTCCTTGGGGAGCAGTGATGCCCTGTAGGCAGCAGCTCCCCTGGCCTCGCATGCAGGGTAAGGGAGATGGATAACGTGTGTGATGGCTCTTCTCTTCCCAGGGCTCTAAAGAATGACAGCTTTGCCTGGGAAGGAGAATTAGAGAACTGTGTCTACAGCAAGGTGACAGGAAGCCAGCTGGCACATCCCAAGTATCAGCCAACTGCTGGCAGCTATCAGCTCCATTTTGCCGTGCAGCAACTCCAGCAGCAGAAGCTTCAGTCCCGACAGCTCTTGGAGCAGAGTCGAGCCCGGCACCAGGTAACTGAGACAAAAGTCGGCCTGAGAGTGACCACTGCCGGTTTCTACACCTGTGGGCGGCATGGGGCAGTTTCACACCCAGGACATAGCACAAGGTTTTGTGGGGAGGAAGCACCACTTGTGGGTTATGAGGACAGGACTGAACTTATATTCAGTGATTCTGATAGCAGCCTAATGCTGCTGTCCCTCTTGGCCTCCCTGCTGGGTCAGGATCCCTCTCTAATTGTCTATCTGAGTGCTGCTGCTCACTATCCTACCTAGTGCCTGAGTCAGAGCCCAGCCTCACTGGGCCCAGAGATTCTTTGTCTGTAAATCCCATAGTTGTGGTGGCATGTGTTTGTGTCCACCAAGGGCACATGTGGTTTACCTACACGGGTGTCATTGTTACATTTGTGTGTCTCCATTCCCCAGAGTCTCATAGCTGTGTTGGCATGTGTCTCTGCCCTGTCACGTTGGTACCAGTGGTCTCTGTTTCAGCTACAGCTTGACCAAGTCCTCTCCCACACACTGCAGTACCCGTGCACCAAACAATGAAGACTGATAGGAAAAGGACTTCACCACAAAGACCACCAAACATTACCTGGATTGCTTCATTCCTGGGGAAGTCTCCACCCTTCCTGTGAGGGAGTAAGGTTCATCTCTGCCAGGAATATTCTAAGAGCCTTAGATACACAATAGACACAAGTATAGAGCCTGAGCCCAGGTGTGAGCTTCTGCCACACCTCCCAGGGCCCGCTAAACACCATCATTATCAGTCAGTGCATCTAATGTTTCCTTTACTTGCTAGGCACTCAGCCATTTGGCACAGAGTCATTCCCTTGACACCATTGTAAGGGACAGAGGGAGACACAGTGCTGTCAAGGCAGGAAGAAAATGAAAATGGGATCAAGATCCTTGTGTCCTGTATGATTCCCATGTAATGAATGGCAGTGTTTTGGCAGCTGGTCTGGAGCAGCATCTCCACACCCTAGATGGAGACCCTGCAGGGGTTTATAAAGCACCAGATACCCCATTTGTCATGGAGGGCAGGGTTTCCTTCATTTTGATTGGTGTCTGGAACAGCAGTGGGGTTCTTCATGTGCATGGACCTCCACTCAGCATAGATTGTTTGACCCAGGTTGGGGGAGCTATTGGTATTTGCTGGGCAGTCTGGCAGAGATGGCCTCAAACACAAGCAAGAACTAAATATGTGGGGCCCCCACCCCCATATCAGGGGCATGAATTACTAGTTACTGCAGGGTCCCTAACAAACAGCTTATGGCTCAATTCCCACCATTCTGGGAGGGAAATCAGAGGGGGAGGCAACTTCTGTCTGTACTGTGTTCTTTCCTTCCCCAAACTCCTCCTTCCCCCCTCCCCCCCCCGCTTGCTACCCCTCTGAGCAGGAGCAGAAGGCCCTTCTTTCATCTCTGTCCAAGGGGCTCTGGGTGGGCAGCCGTGGCTGCTGCTGAGCATAGGGTAGCACTGCAAGCCGAGCTGGGCTGTGCCTGTGAGGAGGCTGGAGCTGACCATGGGGGCCTGTCTGAGCCCTCTTCTAATTGCCGACATTGAGCTGATGTTATTTTTGGCCTAGGGCAGAGCCATTACTCAGGAGTTTCTGTTAAAGTGATTCTTTGTTAAGCCTCCACTCCTCCCTCCCGCCCCCGTTGAGCCGAACAGTTCAGAGCTGCAGTATCGAGGCCATTGCCATGCTACGGGCTCAGGCAGCTCTGAAATTGCCATTAATGAAGAAAGAGATTTGCTTAACACTCAGGGTATGTCTACACTGCAATTAGACACCCACGTCTGGCCCATGCCAGCTGACTAAGGCTGACGTTCCTAAGCTAAGGGGCTGTTTAATTGCTGCATAGAGGCTCAGGCTGCAGCCTGAGCTCTGGGACTCTCCCACCTTGCAGGTCCTAGAGCCTGGGCTTTAGCTTGAACCTGAACATCTACAGTGCAATTAAGCAGCCCCGCAAGCCTGAGTCAGCTGGCACAGGCCAGCTGCATGTTTTTAATTGCAGTGTAGACATACCCTCAGACTTCCTTGTATTGGAAGCCAGGTCTTAATAGAGAGAGTGTCTCTTGGATACATCTCCTCCCATTTGTCTTTGCCTGGTGCCAGACAGATCTCCCATCCCAGGCACAATTGCACTGACCTCTCCTGCTTAGTTGCCAGAGCACCCCTTCCCATCCCAAACAGACTCACCATCGCCTACCCTACCACCACCTCCCTCTCCTGTTCACTGTTGCCTGCCCTGTCCCTGTCACTCACCACTGTTTGGCTCCCCCCACCTACCCTTACAACTCCCCAATCCCATTACCTTCTCCCACTCACTTTGGCCCAAGCCCCATCCCTCACTCCCTTCCACTCACCACTGCCTGGTCACCATCCTGCTCATTTTCACTGTGGCCTCCTGCCTTCCCCTCCCACTCACCATTATCTGTGCCTCCCCACTTCCTCTCCACTCACTGCACCTGGACCTCCACCCACCTGCTCACTATCACTTGGGCTTTACCCATCTCCCACTCATTGTCACCTAGGCCTCCTTCCCCCCTACCTGCTCACCATTGTCCAAGCCCCATCCCATTCCACTCATTGTTGTCTGCCCCCCCCCCCCCAATCCACTGTCCTGCTTGCTGCACCCAGGTCCTCCTTGCTTTTTTCGCATTTCACAATGCCTGGGCCTCAACTCCTTGCAATGATAAAACATCCTTATACCAATGACACCAATGGCTTGTGTATGACACCAATGGCTTGTGTGGCAAAAGCACATCAGGAAAGTATTTAATCACTGTAGCAGCTGGACATAAGGGGAGGAGCCAGGAGCAGGTGACCAGCCCACTCTGCGCACAACACAGTTTGGGAACCTCTGGCTTAAAACTTTTCCTTCCATCTCTCTCTCTTTGTCTCCTTCCTTCCCCCATTCCTCACTTCCTTCCACTTGCTTTCTCCCTCTGTCCTCCCTTGCCATACCTTAAATCTGCACTCACAAAAAGCCCTTTTCTGAGGTGGCATCTCATGCTGATGAGTTTTCCCCCATTCCTTTTCTCAAGCAGTCTGGCTTGGAGGTTGGGAATGAGAAGTGTTTATTGGCATCCTGAGGTAGGGCCCACAGAAACCATGTGTTCTCGCAGGCAGGGTGCCTGGGGTTGGGGGAGGTCAGTGGGTAGCATCAATGGGTCTTTCAGCAGCCTTCCTCACCTTGCTGAGGGCTCCCTATGTACTGCACACTCGCAGTGCTGGGAGGGCAGTCTGGACACAACCAACTCTTGTTGCTCTGATCCAAGAAAATTCATTGCACAAAGCCAGAAAAATTCTGCATTCATCTGGGAGTTGCTCCTGCTTCTCAGAGCACTTAGAGCACTGTGTGTAATGTGGGGGAGGGGAGAGAAGACTGGCAGGAGAATTTGGAGACTCCATCAGCACAGCCCTGGGGAATGGTACAGAGGAGAATTAGACCTTCACCTCAGACCTCTGGGTTTAGAGAAGTGCAGCACACCAGCCTCCAGGTTCCCTGGCTTTGGGTTCACCTCTTCTAATGGGTCCTGAGTTCTTCCCTCAGAACCTTAATCAGGGTTGAGAAGTTGTACTAAATCTAATTTTATTCATTTTCCAGACTGTCCAGTTCCTGCTCCCTGCCACCCTTGATTCTGTGGTCCTGTTAATAGGACACTGGACTGGGACTCAGGAAACCTTGTTTCTATTCCTAGCTCTGTCAGGTCACTTGGGGACCCTAAGCAAGTTACTTCATTGCTTTGTGCATAGGCGCTGACTCTGTGGGTGCGCCAGGGCTGGAGCACCCATGAAAAAAAATTAGTGGGTGCTCAGCACCCACCAGCCACAGCTGTTTGGCAGCGCCCCAGTCAGCTGTTTGGCAGCTCCGGGAAGCATTTGGGGGAGGGTGGAGAGCAGCAAGTGGGTGGGGGCCTTGGGGAGGGGGTGGAGTGGGGGCAGGAAGAGGCAGAGCGAGGGTGGGGCCTTGGGGGAAGGGGCAGAGTGGCGGGGGGTTTCAGGGTAGAGCAGGGGGGGAACACCACTGGGGAAAAATAAAAGTTGGCGCCTATGGCTTTGTGCCTTGGTTTCCGATCTGATACTGACACACTTGTGTGAATTGCTCTGTGAGCTGTGAATGAAAAGAATTATAGTAGTGCTGAGAACTTGATACTGTTAGCAGCAGGAAAAATGAAGCCCAAGTTTAAAAGGCCTATCATTTGCAGGGAGCATCACACTATCTGTTACTGTGAGTGCTTTGGACCCTGCATTCTGTGTATCTCCATGCCACAAAGAGGGCATTTCCATATGATGTTGCAATTCCAGTCATGGCTTGGGAATTGCCTTGGTGAGGCAACCCAGCCATTTCCCAGCAGCCTAGGAGCTCATGCCACGACTTCTGTGGTCACCTCACTGATATGTCATGTCCTTGAAAGGTGCCTTGCCGTACTGAAAGCAGTTTCTATTTTCCCCTTCTCTATATGATGTGTGATTTGGATGTGTCTGTCCACAGGCAGTGTGTAAGTGAGTAACAGCAGCACCATGGTGCATGATGCAAGGAAGGGCCTGGTCTCTGTGCTGCTAATAGCCTGATGTGCTGGAAGTGAGCTGTATGCATGGAAGGACATGGGTGGCATATTTAAAGCCATACATATATGTGCAAAGGGAAGGCATGCTCTGTGCTGTACAAACTCTGAGGAGTGCACGATCTAAGGAGAAGTAGTTAGGGGAAGGGGAATAACAATATAGGCAATTTATATACAAGTCAACTTGATTCACTATAGGCAACATGGCAAAAATGAGTCTTAAAGAACCATTTACATTTGGAAAAGATTGGTCCTTTTTGGAGGAGCTCAGGGATATTGTACCATTCATAGGGCGCTGCACGGGAGAAGGCACAAGGGTGATTGTGTGAGAATCTGACAGACAGATGGAGGAGGTTGGGAGCACTGGCTGAGTGAAGGGGACAGAGACCCAACATGAAGCTTGACAAGGAAGGATAAGTAGGGAGGGGCAGAGTTATGTAGAGCTTTGAAGGTGATGACAAGAAGCTTAAATCTGATACTGGAGTGGTTCAAGGAACAGGAGTTACATGATCAAACCAACAGGAAAGGAAGAAAGTTTATCAGCAGCAGCATTTTGTATGGACTGAAGGGAGCGATGAGTGACATGATCTGATCTGGATGTTGTTACCAGAGGTGCCCTTGCCTAGGAAATTAAACAATCAGTGTTTACTTTCTAATTGTTCCCTCTACTGGGGAGATGCCACTAATTGTCATGGAGGCTTCTCCTCCCCTGTGTAGGTTTGTTCTGTCTGCTTAGCCTGTATCTATTGTATGTGTGTGGGCAGCTACTAGATCTAGAGCTTTATCCCAAACATTGCATATGGGAAATGGGAAATATGCTAAATTAAAACAACCCTAGTTCAGTCATATAGTGAAATGATCCCTATCAATGCAGCCTTGTGTCAGAAAGGGTCAGATAAAACATTCAACAAATGATAATGAGTATTGGGGTCACTCATGGTTACAGTTTCAATCCATAGTTTAAATAGTTTTCTGATATAAATACTGTGTCCAGTTCATCCCCAGTGGCTAAATAATTCCTCTCTCCCCTTATACCTTTCAGAAAGTTGTATGGTCTCAAGTTAGTCAGCGCTTAGCTAAGCTAAGGAGATTTAACTTTCCCCATAACTAATTTCTTTTATTCTTTTCTGGATGTCCTCCAATTTGTCAGTGTCTCACTGGGAATGTGGGGCATTCAAAGCAGATGTGGCTGCACTAGCACTCCCCCCTCCTTGCTCTGGGATGCTCTCCTCTCTGAGAGCAGCCTAACCTGCATTGACCATTTTTGCTACCGTGTTGCATTATAGAATAATTAGCTCCCCCCCCCCCTCCATCTTCATTCATTTCTTTTTCCCAGCTTTCTCCCTTGGATTATTTTTCTGCAAATGTGTTAACTGCAGTTTTCCAAGGTGAATCAAATTTTTATTTGCTACCTATGGGGTCATATCTTTAGTTTATGTACAGTAGAACCTCAGAGTTACGAACACCAAAGTTACAAAATCACCAGTCAACCACCCACCTCATTTGCAACCGGACGTACGCAATCAGGCAGCAGAGACAAAAAAAAAAGCAAATACTGTACAGTACAAATACTGTGTTAAACGTAAACTACTAAAAAAAGGGGAAAGTTTAAAAAAAAAGTTTTGACAAGGTAAAGAAACTGGGTTTGTGTTTGTTTCGCTTAAATTAAGATAGTTAAAAGCAGCATTTTTCTTCTGCATAGTAAAGTTTCAAAGCTGCATTAAGTCAATGTTTAGTTGTAAACTTTTGAAAGAACAGCCATAATGTTTTGTTCAGAGTTACAAACATTTCAGAGCTCTGAACAGCCTCCATTCCCAAGGTGTTTGTAACTCTGAGGTTCTACTGTAAAATAAAATAACTCCACTGAAGTCAGTGACGGTATGTTGATTTATACCACCTGAAGTTCTGCCCCCATGTTTCTAATCTTGTTATATTTATTTATTTATGGCAGCACACACAATGTGCTGAATGCTTTGCAAATATATAATAAAACCCAGTTTGTGTCCCAAAAAGCTCACAGTTTAAGAAAACAAACTCCGTACAAAGGGTTGGGTAGAAGGAGAAAGCATACAGTCAGTTTATTTTAACATATATCAAGACAGTCCGTCTCCTGAATAGTTTACAAAGTAGGACCCACTGTACTGTAATTTGTGAATTCTATTAATGTGCTCTCCTTTTCTAGATCATTAATGAAGTCCTTACATCAGATTGGCCCTTACACTGGCCACCCTGGTTCCACACTAGAGTTCCCTTCCCACAACTCAGTATTTTGCCAATTATCCTTACTTTTTGCTCTTTTGTTTAGTCACTCAGCCAGTTTTCTACCATATCCATGCTGATTTGACTGAACTTTGTGAATAGATTTAATAGAAAACTGTAGCAAATGCTTTACGAACATCTAAAACCCCACCAAATTTTACACACTTATTTTGTAATTCTGTCCCAAAAGGCAATTATGTTTGTCTGATGAGCTAATCTTTATAAATCCTCATTTCTGCTTATTGCTTGTGATTCTGTCATTCTCAGGTTTAGTGATTATTTATTGATCTTACTTGCGGCATTTGTTCCATTACTTTGCTAGGGATAGATGTTGGATATATGGGAGGGTAAGTGGCAGGATCCTTCTTATTTCTATTTTTGAAGATCATTAGCATAACTGTTTTAGTTAAAACTTCTGGTACCTCGTCACTTTAATTGTGAGTAGGTACAGGAAGCTTGGTTTCTGCTTGCTGATACCTTACCATGTGCCTCACCGTGACTGGCAGATTGTACTTGTGACATTTTCTAATTAAAAAGCATTCTTTTTGTGCAGCTCTCATTCTGTCTGTACTTTGTTTCTGTATAAAATGAGGAGAGGTGTGATCTACTGGTGTGAGCACAGGACTGAGACCCAGGAACTCCTGAGTTCTGACTCTAGCTCTGAGGGTGACTCCATCTGTGGCAGGTCACTTGCCCTCTCTGTGGCCCAGAGTGCCCACCTATAAAATGGGGTTAATACTCCAGACCTGTCTGCCAGGAGTGTTGTGGGGATTAATTAGCTAATGTTTTTGCAGTGTTTTAAAGATGCAAAGTCCTGTATTGTGCTAAATATTATGCAGATTTGTGCCCCTTGGAACCTTCCACAGGGTAGGGCATGAGTCTCCTCAGCAGCCAGTCCAAATCTCCAGCATTGTGAGCCCTGTTCAGGATGTTTCCCTTAATAAAGTAATAACTGTTGGGTACTGGATGCTCCTGGGCTGTTTATATCAGAGCTTCTTCCATGCTTCAGTTCTCCCTAGAGCTGGACTCTGTGGATCCTGAATGATGAGGGCTCTCCTTCATGTGTGTATGTGCTGAAATCTCTTCCCATCCCTTTCTCTGTCTGGCCTCCCCTGCTGCCCTTTGTTTGCACAGTAGCTTCTTCTGGTTTCCCGCCCCGCCCCCATAGGGTTCACAGGAGGGCAGCGTGCTTTGTAGCTGGATCCAGAAGCCATGGTCAGTGTCAACCCCCAGTCTCTACACCCTGGCTGCGGTGGAAGGCAGCCAGGATCTCAGCACAGTGTGGAGACAGAGGCCTTTCAGAAGTCTGTTGTCCCCAAGCAAAACAGCCCTGACCTTCCCTTAGGCAGGTCTCGGCCCTGCCTCTGATGATCAGCCTGTGTTATAAGAATTCTTATTTATTCTTCCTCCTGGGTGACTGACCTTCTTGCCTGATCATGTTTGGGGAGGTGACATAGACTGTACAGAGCAAGAGGTTTGCAAACTCTAGGTGTCAGGATTTTAGTAACAAGGGAAAAGCACTTTTGAAAAAAAATTATTGTGCATGGCATCAAATGAGATGCAGTGAGGAGCGGTCTCTGGGTCAGGGGACGAAAGCACAGTGAGTGGGGAGACTCCATCCCTTCCCTGATAATATGATGGGCTCTCAGCTGTACTGGACTAAGCCAAGAGTGTGGTATTTACTGCCTTCCTCCTGACATGTCATTTATAGTTATGCCTGCTCAGGAATCCAGGATCAAAATGGAGCTGTAGGACATGGAGAGGTTAACGAGGAGTAAAAAGCTCAGCAGAGCTTGTCAGTGAATTGTAGTGGAAAAGGCCTGGTTTGGCTCTCACATTCCCCTTTCTCCCCCAGGCTCTGCCTGTCAGAAACTCCCTCCCACACGAGTGCCCTGCCATTTGCCAGAGAATTGTGGGGGAGAGGGGCTTTTCCTGTCTTTATGCTGGGACTCTGCCAACCCTCAGATTGTGGCTTTCTCTGGAGCCTGGAGCCCACTCACTGTGCCTCTGTGTGTTCCTCACCAGAGAAAGAAACTCAGGACAAATGCAACCAAGTGCACTGAAGCCCCAACCTTTCCCAGGAGACTGGCTAGTGCTCACCCTTTCCCCTCATCTTTCATAACTGACTCTTCATCACTAAGCCACATGGCTACAGTTCACTGCTCTGAGCTGGGGATCTAACTAAACAGCTTTGAAGAAGGATAAGGCAGAGTTCCAGGCAGGTTGCAACTTCCTAAAGAGAAGTGAGTGCTGCTTTGAATCTCAGCTGAGCTGGTGCAGAGAGCCATTCCCCTGCTCTGCCACCTGTGTCCTTGTTCTTCAGTGCCTGGCAGTGCACAGGCTATTTTGCCCCATCTCCCAAACCTTCAGCATATCTCTCCCTTCATGACTGGGAACTTTCCTCTCTCCCCAAAGCATCCCCAGAGCCTGAGTCAGGGGGAAATCCTCTTTATCAGTTGCCCTCTTAGTGCCCCTTGCTTCTGTGAGGGTAATTTTGGGCTTCCTATTAGCTCAAAGACTAGGAGGAGGTTGGATATGGGAGTCAGTGTTGTAGCACCTGCTGTGTTGTGCCACAGTAGCAGAGTTTGTCGGCATTTCTAGAACTAACCCTAACTTTCCAAGGCTATAGAATTCTGCTATAAAACTCCTTCATGGAGTCAGTCACCCTCAGTTTGTATCTATCTCTGAGACTGTCCCGGGAGCCTTCTAGTTGGGTGGTCCCCTTCACCAGGCTGGGGCTCTCTCTTCCCAGGCAAGGCTCCTCACCACATGGGTTCTCCCAGTGGAGTTGCAAAGGGAAAATAACCAATCCCTGTATCTTGTTTTCTACCAGGCTCTCTTTGCCAACCACCCGCCACCCAGCTCCAGCAATATATCCATGCCAGCTGATTCTGGTGCCCGCAAGACATCAAGTGCCACTTCCAGCATCCAGAAGGCAACCAGTTCGCACAAAGTGATGCCATCCCAGAGTACATCCTCTCACCTGGTCCCCAAGCCTCCAGCCAACCATAGGCAGGCAGTGGTCAGAAAAGTGGCAGCCCAAAGGATTTCCAAGTAAGTTTTTCCCGTGCCAAAGAAATCTGTGAGGAACACATTGCCAGCAATTGTCTTTGATACAGATCCTTTGGGGCTTTCTTCCTGAATTGAGGCCTTGGAAGAGTCTGGCCTTGATATACTGGAGTAGTTGTACCCTAAAATGGAGCTTTACCTCAGAGTGTAAGCAGGGCCATAGCTTCATACAAATGTGGGGACATAGGAATTGCCATACAGGATCGGAGAAGTGGGCTACCTAGGCCTCTATCCTGACTCTGACAATGATGAGTGGCAGGTGCTTCTTGGGGGAGCAAGACTGCAGTATCAAGTTTTGTTGGAAGTGCATAGGCAGAGCTGTGCTGGAGAAGCTGCTACATTTCCTGCCTGCACTATGCCTGTCTTTAGATAGTGCACTAAATTCATCCCCCAGAACTATCCATAATGGGCTCACCTGCCTATAGGAGAAGTTTCTTCCTAACCCCATCAGCTAGTGGTTGGTTTGTCCCAAAGTATGAGGGTTTGTATCCCCATGTATGCTTTATGTATATTTATATCATTTCCCATATAAATGTCCAATGCTATTTGAACCCTACTAAGCTTTTGGCCTCAGACCTATCCTGTGGCAGTGAGTTCCACAGGTTAGTTATGTGCTGTGTAAAAACAAAAAAAATCCTTTTATCAGGTTCAAGTTTGTTGCCTTTTAATTTCCTTGAGCATCCCCTGGTTCCTGTGTTATGAGAGGGTAATTGTATCTGTACAATTCATTGTTATATCTCTCTGTATCATGCCCCCTTTCATTCTTCTTCTCTGTAGACTGAAAAATCCTCATCTTTACAATGTGTCCTCATATTGAAGTCTCTCCAACCCTTTTCCTTACCCATCTTTGGACTTGTTTTAATCTCTAAAACACTGATGTGGGGAAAACCACATTTATAACCCCTTCCCCTCAGTTCTGTTTGATTCCTGCCAGATTCTCTGACTCCTCGCATCCCCTTCCCTATTTAAGAGAGAAGCTTTAATAAAAAATAGTCATTTTTCCAAAAGCCCCCCTGAGGAAGTGCTCAGATGCAGAATAGAGGTGCATTGGCAATGCTGTGGTTGGGGGGCTGAGGGAGCAGGACTGGAGTAGCAAGGTGTTTTGGAGAAACATGGGCAGAGGTGCTGGAGAAGCTGGTATATTTCCTGCCTGCACAATGCCTATGTTGAGATAAAATTCATCCCCCAAAACTATTTAAAAAGAAAACAAGACATTAGCAGGATTGGTTGACTCAGTGAGGGCGGCTGTGATCATGAGGTCTGGCAGGTCTGTGCTGGTGAATTCACCATCTGATTCTCTTTGTGCTGGTGTGGCTCATGTTAGTACAGGTGACAGGCTGTGTCAGTGGGTTCCTTTGCTGGGCAGCAGAGATGTGTATTTGAAGATGCCGGTGTGCTGTGCTCACTTGTTGGCAGAGAGAATGTTTATCCTTGTGAGATGGAATTGCAGCTTCTTGGACAGACTTTTCTTTGCTGCATTTTTGTGGTTTCTGCTCTGTGACAGGCAGGAGTGTGGGAAAACCGGAAAAAGCTCAGCACCAAAAATGCACAGAACGGGGGAGGGGGGAGCAGAAGATTCCTGCAAAATTTCTGAAACGTAATCCAAGTATTGAAGGCTGCAAGGAGCCACTCCGGAAATACTTTCTGAGTTGCCTTTCGGACTCCAGGACAAGGCTCCAAACCCATTCTTGCCATTCACGTGATCTCACAATAATATTTTTTCACTTACATGGAAAGAAGCAGGGTGAATGGAGGAAATTTTTCCTCAAAGAATCACAGAGATTAGAGATGAAAAAGATGTCTTCCATGCTTCAGTCCATTCTTTCCATTCTCCAGCTCTTCTGTACAGAGCATTCTCTGATGCTATGTTCAGCCTGCTTTTAAATAACTCCAGTAGCAGGAATTCCGTCACTTCGCCTGGGAGACAATACAAGAGTCTAATCAACCTTATTGCTAGGAAATTTCTCCTGATGTGCAGCCCAAATTTCTCCTTTGGTTTGTTTCATCCTGTTGCTCACAGATACTCCTTCCAGAACAACCCTCTCCCTCCTAAATACAGTGCTTGACATCCTTTGAATCCTCTCCTCCACATCTTCAAGGTTCCTAGTTATAGTTATCCTTACTGAGGTTTCTTTAACCTCTCCTCATATAGTAGTCCTATCCACCAAGGTGTCAGTCATCTCATTTTACTTATTGGACCCTCTCCTATTTGTCAATGTTACGCTTGTGTTGAGGTGGAATTGTAATATTCCAAAAGTGGTTATATCCGAAAGTAGAACTATCACATCCCTAGTCAATGACATGATACTGTGCCTCTTTACATAAAACACAGTGTATCATTTGCTTTTTGGCTGCCATATGGGATTTCCAGCACATCCCTAATTTGCTGTCCACCATCTCCCTTAACTCTGTGTTGGCTACTTTCCAGGCCTCCTTCCTCCCAAGAGATCTCAGCCCTGCCTATTTCTTTTAATGGAACATACTGACTTTCATTCATTGAGGGAAAGTCTCATTTTAATCATTCTAATCCTAATGATTCTGTGATTCATTTTTCTAATTTCTCTAAGACCATTTTATTCTCTGTCTCTGCTGTTTGTAGCTTAATATAATCACATTTTCTTTTCAAAGCTGTTTTTAGAATTTCCTCCAGGCTGTGTAGACAGTTTTGTCTCCCTGAACCATCTCTTCCTTGCAAGTATTATCATCTCACTCAGCCTGCACATATGGTGTCCAGAAGAGCAGGAGAAGCATGAGAGCGGGAAACCTCAGCTACAAACAAGATAGAGATTCTAAAGATGAACATTACTGACTCATTTAGTAACTCAGGACACAAAAGAAAAAAGTAACAGAACAATCAGACAAGCAAGGCTTGTCTTTTCTATTTCTGTTCCCTTTTGTTTTCTCAGTCTCCCAGTTTGGGAAGGAGGAAGGGTGTCCTTGTTGTGGATTGTGTCTAAGGCAGACTCCTTACTAAGGTAATGGAGCAGAAAACTGGGGCCTACATTAAGGTATGGGAAAAGACCATAGCACTGAAAGGAAGTTTAAAGTGTAGCTTTGTTAGAAATGTGACTCCATAAAATGGTCTCATGGGTTCCATGTTTGTCTCTCAATAATTTCCAGATTAAATGTGCTCAGATTACAAATAGAAAGATAGCTTTTCTAACTGCTAGCACCGCAAACTCGTCCTGGATTCCAGGAGTCAAGCTGGGTTCTTTCCACCCTGTACGCTATCATCAGTAATGATGGTTCTGCAGGCCAAAATTATATCGTTTGTTGGGGTCATCCAGGTGTTACCAAGGGCAGAATTTGGAGACAGTGAGATCACACTGTCATTGAAGTAGCATCTATAAACAGTGGGGTCAAGCAGATGTCACTGAGGGCAGCATTTGGTCTGCAGAACCTTCATTACAGATGATGATGTGCAAAGCAGAAATAAATCAGCTTGACTTTCAGAGCCTGAAGTGAGTTGGCATGGTTGGTAGATAGAAAAAAACATTTTTCCACTTGTAATCTCAGAACATTTGGTTTGGAGTGACTGAGATACAATAAATATGAAATGCTACGATGCTATTTTTAACAGTTGCTATTCAGAGAACTGCTTTTTAAAACCAGAACTGTGACAGCACGAGGTAAAACAGGGCCTTGAAAAGCTGGTGAGCAGAACCATCATTCGAAAAAAAGAACACTGCAGACAAGGGAGAGAAAGCGCCAAGTGGAGAAAAGAAACCGTACAATTCATGGCACCAGCATTCATAGAGCCTAGGGAGACCCGTGGGCCGGTCTTTGGCCAGCTGTTGACTGACAGAACCTGATGGTGATGTTGATCAGTGTAGCACAATCTCTTGTATTGAGCTTTTGTGTTAATGCTATTTCCCAATATTCCCATTCAGGCACCTGCTCTGACTGATTGTTCCCTGTAGCCAGTAGTACTGTGGCTCAGAGGGAATGAAGTTGATGTCAAATTCCCATTCCCAAAAAGAATCCTTCTGCACTATTATTTTTTTATATACTTTGTGTGGCACCAGCATTATCTGCGAAAGGTCCAAGAGTTCTGCACTATCATAACCAACACAGGAGCAGGGAGGAGATGATGCTTTTCTTCAGGCTTCTGCAAATCCACCTCAGAATCGGGTGGAGTCCTGACTGCAATCTGATATTGGCTATAGCCAGCTGCCTTAGCAAGGACTGGCCAACCCTGGCATATATGCAGAAAGCAGAGGAGGTGGCTGCAGAGAGAGCTCTGCAAATCGCTTCGGTTCTGATTTGAACCCTATCCTTCCCATGTTTGTTTATTCCTTGGCAGACATGAAGTGTCTCAAGTGTGCTGGGTGTATCTCACACAAAAGCAGAATGCCCACTGTGGAGAGGATAGACAGCAACAGAGGAAGCATGCGGCTGTTATTGGGACCCCTTTCACGTTCTGCTACTGCTGCACAGAGGCATGCTTGTTGTTTTAGCTCCTGAGTGCCTGGGTTAATCAGGCAGCTTGACCCTTAGACATTTTTTGGCAGCTGTAGCAGTGCATCTGAGAGAAGTGCCTTGATTTAACATACTGACACAGCTGGGCTCACTAGGCCTGCAGCTCTTAGCCCCTGGCCAGCCTCATATCATACACACAGACACACATGCAGAGACACCCAATCCAAGAACAACAAAGAGGAACAAGCCCTACTGGCACTGGCTCTTCACATCTGGTGCTGTCCTCTGGTCGAACTTCAGTTCTTGTATTATGTGAATTTGCTGGGATCAATTCTGTTCCCCTTACCCCATTAGTTTCCCAGGAATAAGTTGTAACAATAAAGAGGGTCAACATTTAGATCCCCCGTAACCTGTAGAAGAGCAGCTCCCTCCAAATCTGCAGTCTGTGCCAGACAGCTTAGAAGAAAGTGGTGTTATGTCAAAGTGAAGGATGTGAGCTCCCATTCCAAGGCAGTCATCAGGCTAAGAGAGAATCAAGGCACTGATGAAAATGTATGCAAAGGTGA